TAAAAAGTATAAAACTTACAAATATGAAAAGAAATAACCACCCTTTTCAAATGAGATGAAGTTTTTCTTATAAAAATGGTTAAAACAAGTGGTAGACATGGAGAAGTAGTTGCATAAAAAAAGAAACTGTAAACAGAAAAACAGTTTGAATGCTGACACAGATTATCATAAATACTGCTTACAGTTTGGCCATCTTTTCCTTTCCCTGGTGGTCCAGGAGGGCCGGTGAAACCAGGCTCTCCTGGTTGACCTTGTGGGCCTGACTGTCCTGGTTTCCCTGTGTCACCCTAAAAAACACAATAAAAAAGGGAAAAGATGCAGAGTAAATGTGATAAAGGCTGCAAAGGCAAACCCAGCTGATGATTGTAGCGAGAGAGACAGAGAGAAAGAGCTTGTATTTATCATTTATACTTTCACACAAGGTTCAGGTACAAAGGAGTTTTTGTCCAGTGTTTGCTAGTCAGAAAGTATACCTTTAACACAAAATAAAACAAAAGACTATAAGCTATATGTTGTCTTTATATATATTGTTTTTTGTGCAATAAAGCTATCAGCAATGCTGTTTGTTTTTCATTGAGATTAATTAGAAGAAAAAAATCAACATGTTTACTCACACTCATAAAGTGTGCAGTAACTGTAAGTTCATTAATAAGAAAATAACCCTGGAGTTGTTTTGCTGCATCTAAAAGCAAAGGTTTGCTGCAGCAGGGTATGAGTATTATTTACAGACTAAATATAAGAATTATTTTACATGTGGAGTTAGCCATTGAGCTGAATGAATAATGACAAACAGCAGCTTAAAAACATTACTGCCTACTTTGCTTTGATAATACTGCCCACACAGCGGGGACACAAGTTTGCTCTAAACAGTGGAAGGCCCTGTTGTTTATTTACATGATTGTTATTATTTTTATGCAAACCGGAAGCTTTTTCAACCATGTTCTAGTGGGCTGAACATTATGAAACTGGGCAGTTACATAGAACTAGCGTAAATATGGGGAGGTGCAAAGATCCAGATGTGAGCGTGGCAAACTGGCTCTCTAGCACCCTCTAAACATCAGCCACATATGTACATTAGTCCAATACGGACAAAAATATCTCTTGGCACCATGTTCTAAAACCTACAGGAAGTTGGCCATTTTGAAAAAATTTCTAATTTTGGCAAATCTCACATATCACACCAAAAGCTTTCTTCTTATTAGGGCCAGAGCACTATTATTATTATTA